CCGAAGAGTGTTTCAAGTCCCCCCAGCTAAACTATTTAATTTTGATTCAATTTTGTGGCTGACAGGCGGGCAGGCTGGCATTCTGGCTGGCAGGAGTGCATTGGAGCAGAATTCGAACAACTGTCATAAAAATCACGGAGCGGAAATTATTTTGTCACCATTTATAATTGCATTGTCACAGCCAAGCGGCAACAGTAGTCAATAGTGGGTCGGGTCGGGTTGGGTTGGGTCGGTCGCTGGCTCTGGCTCAGTCACTGTTGCCATTGCTATTGCTATTGCTACTTCTGCTGCTGCTGCTGATTCTGCTGTTATTATTGTGATTGGAGGGTGTTGAAAGTAACACCCCGCACATTAAATCAAGTGCCCCCCCGCCCAGCCACTCTAGACCGATCCCAAAACCCACCCAAGCCATCATCACCAGCCACCAACACCACACACCACCCCTGCCCAGGCCCAGGCCCAGGCCCAGGCTGAGTTTCTGTCGACAACGTCATACATAAATTATTGAAAAATCATTCTACAAATAAACTCGTAGCCAACGAATGAACAGGCAGCAGGGAGCAGGCGGCAGGCAGCAGGCAGCAGGCAGCAGGAGCAGGACTCGACAGACAAGTAAATAAAATCCACCACCTCCGCCACAGGCACAGGCACAGGCACAGGACACGCTCTGACTGTGTTGATTGCTTTGACAAGACCGCAAATAAAGCAGTAAATAACTGAGCTGGGAACTGTACGAAAGAGTGGGGGTGGGCTGTCTTTTGGGGGTCTGTTTGGCTGGGTTACATTGCGCATACGCCGCTTGGCCCGACCGCAGTTTAGAACAGGCCCCCCCCCCCCACACCCCCCACCATTCAATGTGCCACCCAATGAACACAGCCGAATGGGACTCGACTGGACTAGACCTGTATGCACGGCGACAATGGACGAAAATGCACTGAAGAGGAGCTGTTTACATCATTCTGAGAATGTGTGAAAGTCGCACTAAATATGAAATATTAATTATATTTAATAATCTAAATAAATAATCTTCATTATATTTAATTAAAACTTGCTAAAACTATTGCTAGCTCATTTTTTATAACCATTTGGTGGGTTTTCTTTTTTAATACATAATATAATATATTGTATACATAATAATATAATTCAGAAGGTGGATCATTTTATTCTACACTTTCCGCACATTTAAATATTTTGTTCGTTGCCGTAGCTTGAAGGTTGCTATAAATAAAAGCCAAATACAATTTTAATTGTAATACAAACAAAATACTAAGTACACAAACCAAATTATTTGCAGAGCAGAAATTAATTATAAACCTCCCTAAAATTAGCAATAAAAGAAAACTTTGTATCAAACAACTTGCTAGATTTTATGACAAACTATTTCTGAAAGACTTTTGGAATCCATATCAAAGACGCGTTGCTTGTCCCACTGTAGCACCGAGAGAGGAGAGCAGAGACGAGCAGCAGCAGAGCAGCAGCAGCAGCAGCAGCAGAGACGGCCGCAGGCAAATCCAATTAATTTCATAGCGCCTAAAAACTTTAAGCGCAAGCGTCGAAGCACGGCTAACATGGAGCACAGCAGCGCACCCCTTCCCCTGCCCCTTCACCACTCCACGTACTCCAGCATGGGCACAAAATGAGACCCCTTCATCCAGCCCAGCACCGCACCCCCTTTGGGACGTAGAGTGTGTCTGTGGCAAAAGTCTCTGGGATTCGTGGCTCGTCAGTTTCCGTTTCCGTTTGAACGAGTGCCCGTGCCCGTCTATTTATTTGCAAATGCAACTTGTCCAATTTGACAGTTGTCGCTTGTAAATGTCACAGGCGGCGGTGGCATGAGAACGTAAAGGAAGGAGGGATGGATAGATGGATGGGTGGATGGATGGATGGATGGATGGATGGTTGGACTCGACACAGTGGAGCGGAAAGTGTGAAAGCCTGTAACGAGGCATATTGCTATTGGATTTTGTGTAAATTTATTTATGATAATTAGTTTCAATTTGATTTAATTTTGCGCTTAGCGAGTGAGAAGAGAGCTGAGAGCGGCGAGCGGCGAACGGAGAGCAGATCGAAGAGGGATGTAGTGGCGCACGGGTGGGAATCAGAGGCCAGGAACAGAGGGGTACGAACCGTCAACGAACTGACAATTAAAAGCACGTTAAAAACGCATTTAGCAAACGGGCCTGAACATCGGCCATCGCATCGCATCGCATTGCATCGAATGGAGTAGAGTGGAGTGGAGTGGAGAGGAGAGGACAGGGAAGGGAGACGGAGACCCAGTGCTGTGGGACCCGTTTAGGCCGAAAACGAAATCGCCTAATGACAGCCGCATCAATCCAGTGCGCTAACAAAGCGTTGAAGAAATCACTTTACCAGCGGCGTCCCATAAAACGTAACCCCAGCGATGAGAAATGGCCCCAAAAAGGAGACGCCGCCGCCGCCGCCACCGCCGCCAACGAATCCAACGAAACGCAGCCCAAAATGACAACGAGACATGCAAACAAATGAAATCAAATCAAAACCAAATGACGCAGCTCCGACTCCAGCTTCGACTCCGACTCCAGCTTCGAGCTTTGCTTGCTCTTGGCTCGTTCGACGAAAAGTCTAATTTGCTGATAATTTGCGACCGCCGCTGCATCTGCCCCCTGCTCCGACCATATTGACCGCCAACGATGCCCCACGGGTGACTACAAGCGGGTTGGGCACGGGCACGGGGACGGGACCAGGATCGCGGTCCTGACTGCTCAGTCTCCCCAAGCGATACTTCCGCCGCCTGCCTAAGCGGAGAGAAAAATGATCCAAAAGTGTAAACAACTTGGAAGTGCCATGCGACCAAAGGATACCCTGCTACGATCATTCCACCAGCAGCTGAACATTTTCAACTCGAAGAATTTTGGCGTCTTACACAGCAATGGAAATGTGCCAGAGTTTTTTTATTTTCCTAGGTATATTATTTATTATTAAAGGTATCTTTTAGGAAAATTGGGACAACAAAACACAGCGCAAATCTATTTATTTATTTTTTACTATTCAACATAAAAATTATTTCAGTTTTATTTTCCCGAAAAGAGCACTAAACTTACTAGTATCTATTGCCCGCAAATATGGATGCATATAATATTGACTGCACTGAATTTGTATTGGCAGACACCATGAAAAATCTTTTTTGTGTTGGTACATTAAAAGTTTCGACTGCTTGCACTCTGATCTGCCAGAGCTAAAAGCAATATACCCGTTCACTCAACGACTATGGGGCATGAAAAGACATTGATGAGGGTGGGCGGGGAGTCAAGGAGAGGCAGTCAAACCAGGGTGGAGGTCTGGGGTCGGGTGCTGCTTGGATTTATGGCGCACAGCGCCAACTGCCAATTTAAAGACAATTTGGCCAAGAGGCGCGATTTCAGCTAAATTGCAACACAAATGCAAACAATTAAGGACTTTTTTTTTTAGTAGAAGTCTCCAGCAGGCCCCAGTTGCAGTTTCAGTTGCAGCCCCCACCGGCCTAGTGGAAGGTCACCATCCAGCCAGCCAGAAAGCCAGCTCTTTGACAGATGATCGTGGGGCCGCACAAAATATCGCCCCAGTTGAGCGTTGAAATTAATTGGGTTTTAACGCGAGGGACAGGCACCCAAGCCGGGTCTTGCTGGGCGTAGGACGGAAGCACGAATCAGCACAGCACAGGTGGCACATCATGGGAGGTTCAACTGGAGCCTGTCTATGAGCACATGCAGAGTGCATCTTCCTTCGTTATTCCGTATGCCACATAAACGATATTTTCCCCAACGTGCTCCACACACGGAAACGGACGCAACGCAACGTAATTGGCGCACGGCCGAGCAGTCAAACACTTAACGCCAAACCAATCGCGAACGGTAACCAACACTTAAGTGAAATAAACCAACAACTAGCTCAAATAATTGTCACTTAGGGCACAGCCCACTCAGCCACTCCGCCCCCGCCCGATTGTCAACGCCGTGGGCCACATTCGATTTGGTCAAAATCCGGGAAGGAGGGTAGGGGCGACAAAAATGTTGACAGCTGTTTTGGGTCGTACACTTCCCAACCCTCTCCTGATCCTTTCAAAACAGAACTGAAAAAAAGTAGAAAGAAAAGTGAAATAAAATAAAAAGCATGCAACATTTGCACCTGACCAGGGTGACACCATGAAAGGCGCCGAGTCCGAGTCCGAGTCCGAGCCCGACAATGGCATTGTTAATGCAGCCACTACAACTTTATTATAGCCCTAGCCCTAGCCCTAGCCCAACCCCAGTTCCAGTCCCAGTCGCAGTCGCAGTCACAGTCCCAGTAGCAGCCCCATTTGGGACACTCCATTGAGGGGTCCACGTCCACTCGCACTGGCAATGATGGTGGGCCGAGTGCTTGCCGAGGTTGATTTTAATTTACCCTAATGCGTCTATAATTCGAGCCATTAGTGCAATCACATTAACAATTTTCCACAGTCCACCCTTTGTGTGGTTCCAGGGTTCCAGGGTTCCAGAGTGGGCAGAATGTGCGGGCGGAGAGGGTAACTAACGAGACAGCTTTCCGCGACACGGCAGTAGAGGGGGATCTTCATGGCAGGAGCTGATCCAATTAGATCGGGCGAGCATCGAGCGCATTGAATGTGCGCAAAAGTAAGCCAATCAAATGGTTGGGCTTACCGCCTGCTCAGGGCATCGGTCTGAGGATATTACCAACAGATGTCAAGCCAGCGGGAAACCATCAGCTCTGAAGGTTACAGACTTTGCCATTGAAGCTGATTCAATGGTGCTACGAGCCATTGATGGATGTCAGTGGAATAGTAATACAAATAAATACGTGCTAGCTGTCGAGGGAGTTGCTTGTGCTGAATGAAGCTGAATACTTAATTGGATATATATTCGTAACCACACATCCCTTAGCTGCAATGGTAGCTACAAATTAAATTGCAAATTAAAATCCGAACTATCTCGATCGAATATTAAAGAAAAGCCAGCCTGAAGGCCTTGTTGCTCTGGCTTTAAACATTTATTGCAATGTAGGATTAATCCTAGGCTACATTTTAGATAGTAAATAAAATTAAAGAAGTATTAAAACCAAGAACCAAGCCATTGACATTACAATATAAGTAAGGTAAGTTGTCCCCGAGTTGCCTTCCAGTTTGGTGCTCCTGCCGAAGCTCCCACCAATGGCACACCATCCCAAGCACCACTTCCGCTATACGCATGACCACAGACCCGAACCCTGAACAAAGCCCAAGCCACCTCTTATTTATTACTTACTGTACATACAGGCATACAGACACGCACTTGTGAAGGGGTTTCCATTTAATGGACCCATTTATACACAAATATTAATCATATGTTGACACTCGCACGTAATTAGGAACCGACTGGGGGGCCCGACTGGATTGTTCATGCTTGATTGACTTTGACTTTGACTTTGAGTGACAGGCGACAGGCTAAAGGAGCGTCCCCTCCTAGGCCTGTGGCCTAATTAAAAATCAATCGTTGAGCGTCTAATTAGGGGGGGGCCACTCGTTCATTGAGAGGCCGCTATTAAGGGCCATAATACCCAGTGCCCCGATCCGCCCTGCCACCGAACAGGCACGTGTCCTGGCCAAATAGAGTAACAAAAAAGTTGGTTAAGCCATAAACGAGGCCAGGAAAAACAAATCGGTGAGCGTGGGGCGAGTGTTTATATGTTTTTGATATTTATTTATGCCTTGTCCAACAAATTATGCGCTTCAGTTGCATAAAAAGGCGAGGCACAGCCATCAGGGCAACACGTGCCGCCTGCCAGCTCCTGCCTGCCCTGCCCCATAGCCGTGCCTCGGACCGCACTCTCTGACATTTTCAAAACTGAATGAATCTGCAGTGAGCGGAAAATGGATTTCTAATATTTTCCAACAAAATACAAAAAAAAACAGGGAGCAGAATATAAAAAAAATATTATATATATCTATATATTACATCAAGTTAACGAGGGAAAAGTAATCATAAAACAAGAAAGGAAAGCGAGCAACGTGGGCCGAAGTGTTTGATACTCTTGCAGATGGAAGTTACTTTGTGTTCCCACTATAAGATATAATCGTTATGTATACTATTCGTCAGAAATAGATGCGACTATAGTGGTCCAATCTTGTCTGTTCTGACTAAGGCAATTGGCGTGCAGTATAAAGTGGAGTCCGTGCAAAGCAACAGCCCGAAATTGAATTTAGAAATAAATTTAGTAATTAGTTACAGCTATTAGTTGTGCCCAGACTTGGCTATATAGATCGAGAATATATACAGAAGGTACTCGTACTATGTTGCATTGTGGTTGCTCCCTTTTCTGTGGATTTACAAACAAAATTAAAATACTCTCTGCAAGGGTATGGGGAACAGTATGGGGAAGTGTGGGGAGGATGAGCTTAAAATATGCTGCCTGCTCGCTGGGTTTCACACAACTTTTCCCAGAGGACGTCCGGGCTTAAAAGTTGAGAAAAATGAAACTTTTATGAGCGCATCTCGTTTGGCGTTTCATTTTTCGTTTTCTTTTTTTTGCTAGAGTTTTTCCTTATACATAAACTTATTTTTTTTTGTTGGGTTTCTTATCTTAGCCGGCCGAGCAATATTCTTTTCGATTAAATGCTTGAGCAGGCACGGCGAAGAGGCGGCCGTCCGGGCCGGGAACAAAATGGCGCGCATAAAGAGCCGCAAAGTGGCCGGAGAGCTTTGCCGGAGCAATGTGTCCTCCCGGACTCCTCTCGGTCTGGTCACCTGATGACGTAACCGGACGGGACTCCACGGACTACACACTACGCCTTCTTGAGTCGCTTGGCCGGCCCCACCGATGGCAGGCCGCTATCAAACTCGGATATATTCAGGGCCCTCGACTTGTTCAAGCTCTTCATGAAGCTACTACGACCAACGGCACCTCCTGCTGGAGGTGGTCCTCCGGCTCCTCCTCCCTTCTTCTGTTCCTTGCTCTGGATGTCCTTTGGCTGCATCTGACGCACTTCTCCGCTGACTGTGGTCGTGTAGATGCGTCGCTTGCTGCGCTTCTCCTGCTGCATCTTTTCGGGATCGCTGCAAAGGTATGAGAGATATGGCAACGGATTAACAAGCATATAGCATGGGAATTTCGGGGATTTTTAGTTATTTAACTCCTTGAAAGCTATCGATAACTTACCGTTCCGTGTAGGTCAGTCGATTGGTGGGTGGCGGCGCCTTGGGTGCTGCATGTTTGCCAGCGAACTTGGTGGGTGCCTCCTTGAGGGCGAAGCTCTTGGCAAAGTGTCCCATGTGGGCGATGCGTACGTTGAAGATGGGCTTCAGCTCCTTGGGAAATGTCGAATAGAACTTCATCCAGGACACAAAGGCTGCAAGTCAAACAAAAGAGCAGGGGAAACAAAGGTTACAGCGAGCGAAAGAGAGGGAGAGGAATGTAGCATGTTAATGCTTTTAGAATTAATTGATGTCTTGGCTTAAGTGCTCTCTGCCTCATGTGTTTGTGTGTGTGTGTATGGCAGTGTGTGTGTGTGTGTGTGTGAGTGTGTATGCATGTGTGCATGTGTCTGTGGCATTCATTACAAAATAAATTTGTTAAGATGACAAATGAGCAATGTCACCAAAGGATTTCACATCCATGTCGTCTCTCCCATTGTGCGGTGCGGTTCGGTTCGGTTCTGTTCAGTTCAGTTCCCCTTTCCTTTCCTTTCCTTTCCTTTCCGTTTGGTGTTATGGGCATGTCCTTGCTAATTACGCAGCACTTATGCCAGGCAAATCCAAATTATACAACAATGATATCAAATTACCAACTGCGGTGGCACTCACCAAACAAAGACCGCAATTGTTACCCCGAGATAAGCATCTCTGCCAGAGACAGCGACAGCGAACAGCGACAGAGAACAGCCACAGCGAAAGTGAGATATGTAAATTTGATGTGAAATGAAAAATGCAACGAAAGTGTACAAGGCAAGGCAGGGCAAGGCACAGCACGGCATATCTACATATCGCAAAAGAAGGCAGATGTGAAGTGGCAGAGGAGAGGAGAGGCAGAGGAGTGTGTACGGTACGATGGAGATAATTGTATCCATATCCAACTACATGCATACATATGTATGTGGAAACCGCAACATTTGGGAGGAACCTCAGAGAGGGCTACAGAATCGAACTGAATTGATCTACCAAGAGGAATAGGAACTAGCGATATTTTAGATATTACGTATACAAACAAATTTTGAATGGCAACGAGACTCAGACCAAAAATCTTACTGGCAATTTTCATGGATCGAAATTACAAGCAGCTTAATTATATGGCATTAATTATGATGCTGAATGGAGTGCAATTCATATATAAAAATTTATAATTTAAGTCGAACAAAGAGAGTATTCTAGTGCATTTGATTTACCGCATTAAAATGTAGAAAAGCTAGAAAATAAAATGAACGTTATAAAGTAAGCGGAATAGCGAAGATCCAACTCGATTTTATGCCACTGAATACTTTTAAGAAACGTTTCTGTTGGTGTTTTTTTTCCGGCTTCAGATTTTATGTTTTGCAGTCGATTACCATAGTTATATATACCTACGGCTCCCTGGCACCCCCACAACGCCAAACAAAAACAATTTCCAGCTACAAGTATCATTAACCAAATGAAGCAGTTCCATTTCCTTTTTAGTGTCTCATAATTGATTGCTCATGTAGCAGGGGCGAGGAACCGCAAGCCGCTAGCCGCAAATCCCAGCCACACACACACACAGACACCTCAAGCTCCACCAAGTGTGCCACCAAAGCCACCCCAGCCACCCACACCCACCATGACCAAGCTATATCCTGGGGTGGATATGTTGAAGGGCGAAAGGGAAGTGGAGGGTGTGGGTGGTAGCCGGACCAGAGATGGATGCAAAGACGTTCCTGTTCCTGCCCAACCAATTAACTCACAGCAGCCGCCTCGTCTCGTCTCGGTCTCGGTCTCCGTTCAGTCCGTAATCGTGCGCCGTATCCGCACTCGCACGGTCCAGAGTCCTTTGGTCCTTTTTGTGTGGGTCTCTCGAAAGTCTCAAAGTCAAGCCCTTGTCTCTGGGTCTGGCTTAATTGCCGCAAATGCGATTACAGTCAAGTGGCAGACATTAAATAAACAAAAAGTATGACGGCAGCGGATGTTTAGAGACGTCTGCCAGCCGGAAGTAGCGAATAAAATAAATGTCATCCGAGAGAATATATACCCACTACTCGCCCACCCATCTCCCAGTCTCCCCTTAGTCTCTTAGTCTCCACTGAATTCACCACAGAAACCGCACAAAATGGCTTTTTATGCTACTTTGCCTGCAGCCTGCCTGCCTGCCTGCCTGTCGTTTTGGCCCATTGTCTCGGCTGGAAAGGAATTTGAGCGTGATTGGAGTGGGGTGGTGACCCCGCCACTGCCACTGCCACTGCCACTGGCAGTGTAGTGGAGTCCCTGGTGTGGGGTGTGGCTAATGCGCACGTCAGCGGCTCAACGACTCAACGGCTCAACCGGCGGCCAAAAACGCAAGCGGATATTTCTATAAAGCGACGCGCGCGTGTCCATGCGGTTTTCATTTGCTTTGTGTTGTTGCGGTGTAGGCGTGGCAAATTGTTGTGATTGTTTTTGCTTTTGTGTCCTTCTCATTTTCAGTTTCATTCTTAATCCTCCTCCCTCATTCTCCTTCTCACTTTCCCTCTCTGTCGCTGTGTCCTTTGTCGAAGGGTTTCACTCGCGTTGGATTTTCGCAGGCAGTCGCCTGCCGTTGTGTGCGGTGGTTCGCTCATGTGATACGGGGGCACATAGCAGCTAATAATTGGCTTAAGATGGGCAGGGGCAGGGGGTGTGAGTGCCTCAGTGGAGTTGGTGGTTGGGTGGCCACAGGGGTACACTTCTCGCTAAATAACTATATTTAAAAGGGTTCATAAAACAATGTAGAGACATCCACTACCGAACAAAAAGCATAAAATGAATATATCAATTATATGGACATTTCTCTGAGGGCCAATGGGACATTCATACGCATTGCAAGTGGTAGAAAATATGACGGGTTTTTTTTTCAAATTGTTTTACCATTATGACAAATCTCTTGAGAAGCCCTATAACTGATGCTTAGGTCGATGGATTCACACGGCAACGAGGCAAACATCAGTCGGTTCAGGTTTGTTGGAGAGTCTCTAAAAGGATTTATTCGAATATACGAAGAATAAACGTTTCTTTGTTTTCATTAAAAAAGTACTGAATCCATTACTATTGTTGGGCATGGGTACCCTTCTTTTGCCTGATAAATATATGAATGTATTTCCTGCATTTCCCCTTGAGATGTGCCTTGCCATTGCCTTGCACCCTTGATACGCACTGCAGCACCACACGAGGAGGAGACACAAACACATCTGTGGCAGATACTGAAACGTTGAAAGCTTGGCAGCACAGGCCAGCACAGCACAGCCCACTATACCGCTTTGGATTCGTAGAAGAAAAAGTGAATTTCAACTTGAAAATTGTTTCAATTACCGATGGAATGCGAGGGACTTCACTTGAGACACTGGACTCCACAGCCACTGCCAGTGCCAGTGCCAGTGCCAGTGCCACTGCCACACACAGAACTATCTACTCTGGCACCCTCCCATATTTTGGTGCCTTCTCTCCTCTGCCTCTCCACATTTGCTCCTTTCTTCTCCTCCCCTGATGATGTTGTTGGCTGTTCTAACTGCTTTTATCTGCTGCTTTGTACAGTTTTGTTCAAGCGTAATACTTTTTAATGGCTTTTTGATTGGACGCAGCAAAGCAGCAGCAGGCAGGCAGGCAGCAGCAAACTGCATCCCCCCATACATAGATCTCTCGCTCCCTCTCTATCTACCAGGTTGTATCTGTATCTGAGTCTGTCTCTGTCTCTGCCTGTGTTGGTTTTAGTGCACCCCGTTCGCCCATTTCGGTTGCTGCTCTTAAGTTTTACCAAGTGGCTTCCTGCCTTGACGCTTGACTCGGCGCTTAAGTGCAATTGGAGTTGCCATTTTGACAGACTCGACTCGACTCTCCTTCTCTACTCTTCAGCTAATTCTCTTTCTAGTCATGCCTTTTTCTCCTTTCTCCATTTCTCCATTTCTCTTTGCTGTTTGCTCTTCTGTTGCTGTTGCTGTCGCTGTCGCTGTTTCTGCTTTTACATACATCCCCCCCTTTATCATATTTGGCTTGCTGTCTTTCTATTGTTTTGCAGTTGGGCTGAAAGCCATTTGGTTATTTTTCTCAGTTTCCGTTTCCTGTTTCGAGTCGCCATCAGTCGCCTTCACCCACCCCCCCTTCCTTGTGATTCATTTTGCATTCATTTTTTGCTCTGCTCTCCATTTGGGGGCGTCGTTCGATTAGAAGCGATTCCATTTCCTATTTGCTTGGTGGTCCCTCCTTGAGCTTTTCCATTTATGTTTCAATCGGGGAAAAAATGGGAAAAAGTTCTTCTGTAGTCCTCCTTTTTTTTTTCTTTACCAACCCCACCCTTGGGAGGTGGCGAAACAACTCGGACAACCCTTCAACCTGCTGCTGCTGCCGCTGCTGGCCAGGGCCTTGGTAACATCTAATTAACTTTTTTGTCCTATCCCATCCAAGGCTGCAATTACAATTTCAACAGGACATTAACATTACCATTGATTGGGTGGGGATTGACAGTTCTAATGGGAAACACAATCTATGGCTAACCGCACTTGGCGTACCCTGCAATGGGAGTGCGATTTGTAACGGCTTGTAGAGCCCATTTTTTAACTAGCTTCCCCCCGGAATCAGCTTTCCTTTACAAAAAATAATGCCTTTATTTTTTAAATCTAGCATACTCTTACGTAGTACACCATTTTGTTTTGCCTACATTTTTTTAATTACAACCTAGACCGAACGCTCTAGAATTTGCATTTACTGCTCTACCATATGCATGGATATTCGGATATGACCCACTGCTAAGAACTGCTACCCCTTTTCGCATTCCCTGTTGGGTAAGGGAAATAAAATAAAATATGAAAGAAAATACAAATAACGAAAAAAAACAAGCAGAAAAACAGAAAAGGATCAGAACGATGAAAGGAGTCGCTGCTGGTCACTTGCCGCAGTGGCTGACTATTGAAGAGGGTGGAAGGGTGGAAGGATAGGCGGAACGGCTGGACAGATAGACACAGAGCTGGGTGGGGGGGGGAGTGGAGTGGCGTGGAGTGGATCCATTTGACACGCAATCGAAATTAACTTCAAATATGAAATAATTTTTGTGTTTTTAACGCGCGTTGCCCCGTCGATGATGGTTGGCTGGTCCGAAGGGCAGGAGACCTACGGACCCACAGAGCTGGGTGGGGGGGTGGCGTCCAGAGTACGTCCAACTTATAATTGGAAAAATAGAGCGTTTGTGTGTGTGTGTGTGTGAGTGAGTGAGTGTGTTTTTCCCCCGTTTCTGTCGGTATTTCTGCTTTTTGTCGAACCCGACCCGCGGGCCTGAAGACCGTCGCATCGCGTCGCGTCGAGAATTGTGTCGTAAAAAATCATAATTACAAAGTTAATGTTCTCTTGGTGAAAGAATTAAATTGCTAGTTTGCCCAAAGAGAGAGAGAGAGAGAGAGTCCAGCGAGTGCCGGGATTCGGGCCAATTGGAAAAGTAAATGCCATGGGAACTGGCCAAATGAGACACTGACTGGGGGGCATCAAAGAGGGGGAAGGCAAAGTGAAGGGCATCCTTACCTTTGCAGGACTTTTCATGCAGTTCGCGATCGTCCTCGAGCAGCGTTTGGAACTTGTGCTGCAGATTGGACGCCGCCTCCTGAACGGTGCGCGCCTCATCGTCGAGCGGCAGCAGGGTCTGCAGATAGGCGTACATGTCGCCCTGCTGTATGCGGATGCGTTTGTTCTCCAGATGCCGCACAAACTGCGACTCGCTTGGTGCCAGGAAGAGCACGGCCCTGCCCTTGCGGCCCGCCCGCGCCGTCCTTCCCACGCGATGCACAAAGTCCGCCGTGGTCTGGGGCGGCGTATACTGGATCACAAGCTTGATGTCGGGCACATCGATGCCACGGCCGACGACATCGGTGGCCAAAAGCACACAGCTGGCGCAGTCCCTGAATCCTCGAAAGACGCCCTGACGTTCCGTCTGGGTCATGGAGCCGTGAAGTCTGCAAAAGCAAAAGGAAAGTGTAAATGGAGACTGAACCGAATGGAAAGCTATTTAATGCTCTGGCAGCTTTATCCATCATTTATACAAATATTACGAGAATATTATTCAGAGCATTATTCTATGGCCCTGAACTGAACTATTCCCGAGCTATTTCGAGATTAATTGTTACTGTAGCACCTACACCAAGATATCTGAATTAAATATACGACTTAGAAAAAAAAAACAGCCTCTTCTGGCTTTAACTATTAATTGCCATGTAGGAGGCAGCTTGGGCTACAAGTTGGTAAATAATATAAATAAAATAGTAGCACATTTTTGCCAGTCTGAATAGTTTAGGGGATTTTTAGAAGAAATAATAACAAGAAAGGTTTTTTCTTGCTTCTAATTCTACTATTTATGGGCATTTCCTTTCTGGTTTTACGTTTTGTTTTTACTAAAAATGACAAAGTAAAATTCTAAAAAAGTTGTTTACCCATTTGCATAGTTATTAAGTAGTCCTACCATATCCGAAAACAATCGAACTTACGGCCTTAAAGATTCTACCTCTAAAGGAAAGCACTATGCAGAAATATCCGTGCAGCCTCCGATTTCTGTCTGTCTGTCTGTCTGGCATCAACAATTTGTACAATCTACAGTCTTCACTCGTATAAATGTTCCCGGGCGGGTGTAAATGCTTGCAAAAGTACAAAGTACTTTCCCCTGTTCCCCCGTCCAGTCTGCACTCACTTGAAGAAGCGCAGTCCCTGGAGCAGCGGTGTGCTGGTGTCCTGCTCGTCAGAGTCCTCGTCGTTCTCCTTGATCTTCTCGTCATCCTCGTCGAGGACGCGCCGGGTGAGGGCCTCGTTGAGCATGTCGTGATGGAAGTTCACCATTTCGGTGGTGCTCATGAAGATGATGGCCTTGAACTGCTTGGGACTGGCGGCCAGCTCCTTGGCCAGCAGCGAGGAGAGGGCCACCAGTCGGAGCTTGGCCGGCACCACGATGTAGCTCAGGTGCAGATTCTCTGGGATGCTGAGCACGCCCGTCACATCCTCCTGATACTCACCCAGGCCATCGTCCGGGTCCAGCTGGGCCTCGATCGAGTCCTTCTGGTAGCCCTCCTTGCTCTTGAGGGCCGCACTGGCCGCCTCGTCGCTGTTGTCGATGTAGAGGGGATCGCTGAGGGCGAGACCGGCCAGCTCCTGGACCTGGGCGGTCAGCGTTGCGCTCAGCAGCAGGCGCTGCAGCTGCGGCAGCTTCTCGTCCTGTCCCTGGGCCTCCAGCCGGTGCTTATCGATGGCCTCCACGAGCTGCTTGACGTCCCGCTCGTAGCCGAGCTCCAGCAGGCGATCGGCCTCGTCCAGCACGAGGAACTGCAGCCGAAACAGCTTGAAGGAGGCCGTGTGCAGCAGATGGTCGACCAGGCGGCCCGGCGTGCCCACCAGCACATTGATGCCCTTCCGCAGGCGCGCCTTCTCGCTCTTGCGGCTCTCCCCACCCAGCAGGGATCCGGGCACGATCCACGTGTAGGGCTTGAGCAGCTTCTGGAAGAGCTCATACGTCTGCACGACCAGCTCGCGGGTGGGCACAATGATCAGGGCCACGACGCCGTCGGTGCGCTTGATATGCGGCAGCTGCCCCTGCAGCTTCTCCACCAGCGGCAGGGCGTAGGCCAGTGTCTTGCCGGAGCCCGTCTGGGAGCGCACGAGCACATCCTTGCCGCTCAGCACATGCGGTATGGTCTTCTGCTGCACCGTCGTCAGCTCTGTGATGCTTAGCAGATCCTCCAGATTCTTCACCGCATGCGCATGCAGCCCCAGACTCGCAACTTTGCTGCCAGCGAATATTGTCTCCCTGACGGGCTTCACCATCCGCTGGCCCAGCTGCTTGAGGGCCTCCACATCGCTCTGGTCGAACAGGCCAATTTTCTTAGTGCGAAAACGATTGGCCACCGATGGGGCAGCAGCGGATGTCTTGGCTGCATCCGCCTGCTTCTGTTCCGACTGCTCCTCCCGTTCTGGTTCTTCTGCTGCCATCTTCTTCCTTCGCTCCTCCTCTATTTGCGCCTTGAAAATGTCGCCAGCGCGTGGCAATTTGTTGGGATTCTCCGGCTGGCCCTTGCGCGCCTTCAGGGCGCGATTGAGCTGCTCTTCGCTCAGCTTGGACACCGGATTGCTGCGTTTCTTGCTGCCCATGCGCTCGGCCCTCGTGGTCTTGGGCTTGGTCTTGGCCACTGAGGCGGCCACCGGCGCTGCGCTGACATTGAGCATTAGATCATGGCCCAGGCTGGGCTTTGGGGCTGCACTGTTAGCTGGTTGGGTTGCGGTGGCATTGAACATGAAATCGCCAGCGGGCGACGAAGCGGCAGCGGGAGCAGCAGCAGGAGCAGAAGCAGGAGCAGGCGTAGCCTTTGCCTGCACCTTGGTAGGCACCCGTCGCCGCACCACTATGGCTTTCACCTTGGGCTTCTCCGCATTGAACTGAAAATCGAAATTGTTGGACGCTGGAGCGCGTTTCCTCACGGGCTGTCGCGCGGATTTCTGAAACGGAAGGCCACACATTGAGTTTTCTGTCACGCATGTGCCTTGGGGCAACACTCACCTGCTGCTGTAGCTGCAGCTTCCCGGCCGAGGCCTTGGCACTCACATTCAGCGATATGTTGTCCACCATTTTTATAACATTTGGGTTTACAAATTAATCTGAAATTCTTGATTAAAAAACGTGCGCGCCAGTGGATAGTGTGACCACTTTCCGAAAAAATCTACCGCCAGACCCTCAGAAATATACCGGAATATACCTTGCCATTATCAAAATAAACCGTAAATATACTGACGGACACGACAAGATGCGTTGATATTCCTCGACTTTAATATTCGGTTTCATATTACTAGCTATTTAGCCCGCTCAGACCTAATCAAATATGTTTTTGCAATTCATTAATAAGTTTTGTACAAGATTGGTTAGTTTTCGGAACCCCTTTTTATTGGATTAATTATAGAATAAGCTTCGAAAAAAGAAGGTCAATGTCGACACATACTTGCGCTGACATTCACAGCGCTGCCAGAAAATCAGCTGGTGCTGGATAGCAGGGATGCCAGATGGTCAAATAAAGGTACAGTCAGCGCGCAGTTTGAATTGCCCAAGCAGCAACAGACTAAATTTTATTCAAATCAATTTGTTTATGTGTGTGCGTATATATATATTTAATATATTATATATGTATGTATGTATGTATATATGTGGTATATATTCCGTTAAATTCAGTAACAGGGTTTTTTTCGTTTTCGCTATAAAGTAATGCAGCTGACAGCTGCTCCTCTCTCGCTCTCGCTCTATCTCTATCTCTCTCTTTCATTTTCACTTCTCCCCTATTCCTAAATCAAAAAATGCTCATCCAACTGCCTTGGGCTGTGGTGAGGGCGTGTGTGGGAGGTATGGGTGGGGGGTTTTTTGGCATCAGCCCCAGCTGCGTGCCCCGCAAATGTCAACCACAGACCAATGCATGACTGTGACGGCTGCTGATGCTGCTGCTGCTGCTGCAGACTCCTCTGCTGCATCTCCTATTCCGACAGCCACGCCTTCTACGCCCACATTCATTGCCAGGCTGCTGCTTCTGCTGCAGTGAATGGTCGCCGGCGGCTCCTGCTGCTGCTCGCGCTCCCTCTGCCGATTGCGCTGCCGCTTGCGCTTCTGCTGCTGCTGCTGCTCCAGCTCCAGGTGCATCATTTGCATGCCGCCGTGGCCGTGCGTCGTGTGGCAGGCAGCATACAACAACTATGCGGTCACATAGTACTCCCGCTGCCGCTTCTGGCACTTCTCCCGTGCGATATAGCACAGGGCAATCGTTATCAGCAGGGCAATGGTCACGCCCATGCCAATGCTCACCCACATGATCTCCTCGTTGATGCCCACATAGGAGCGGCCTAGCCAGAGCGACCAGAGTGGCAGGAAGAAAAAGGGGAAAATTAATTAATTTATTAATCAATCAACGAGATGATGATGGGTGTCCAATATGCCTTGGACGAGGGGAGTGGAAGGGGACAGAGGGAAGCATCGATTGATGCTACTTATTAGATTCCCATTTAATATATTAAATTTATCCCTGACGAAATGAGCACCCCCTTCCCGTATTGAATACAAAAAAAAAAAAAAAATCAAAAGTTGAAGAAACATTAAAAAAATCGTAGAAAACTTCAACTTTAGCCCTGTGGAAATTGATTTAGCACTGATCTGATCAGCATGCCATGAGAGCTGGAAATGCAGCTGAAGAAACTGAAGGATACTTTCATATCCCCGAATTAAGGCAGTTGGTGGAGCACCTTCTACATCGTGTGCTCTCTCATCGCCAGAGTGCAGCAGTGACTCCCCATTTTACGTAGCTAATACTCAATTGAACTCGCTAAAAACTGATCCAAATCGAAAAAAACTCAAATCATTGTCCATGGCAAGAAGGACGAGGAGCAGTAGCAGCCTCCAGCCCTGAGTCAGCCCCTGCATATTCTTCGCCATCGCATTGCAGTTGCAGTGCTCCAAGAAAGACTTTTGACACCAGCTGTGGGCAGAGCAGAGAACTGCAAATAAATGTTTTGCTCTTTAAACTGTCATCAAGGAGGATGGCGATGGCTGGCTAGTGGGACTGTTTGTTTGGGAATGGATATTGATAATTATCATTATCATGGCACTTACCATTGTAGTAGTGATTGGAGTAGCCGGCCTTGCCAGCCACACGACCCGCTGGCATTCTGTTTCAGCTGTCAACAACAAATGCCACGCAAAACAAAAACTTTATCCAACTAATAAAACAATTTGGATTTTTTGTTTCCCTTCCGCCTTTTCCTACTTGGCGCCCTTGCCAGCAAAGTGTTTATTTATTTTTGTTCCTCTTGGTGTTGTTTCTGTTGCTGCTGTCCGTTGTCTCTCGTTTAATTGCAATTTATGGGTCGACTGCAATGCATCCTGCGTCCTTGGCCGGCAATTCGGTCGTTACGCTGGCAGTGGCGCCAATGCAGCGCCTGGAACTGCCAAGAAGCTAAAAGAGATGAGACGAATCGTAAATTTCCATAATTGGCAAGGCAAAGCAAAATAATTAACTAGTGGGTTGCGCAAATTTTCAATTTGGTGTGGAAAACATTTGAAATAAAATTTGAAAGTGAGCGCGCGTGCGGCAGCTATCTTACAACACTGCCGCCACAGCTGTTCGGCGTTTGTCAGCACTGATCAGTGGGTCAGCTGCGGTGCTGCCCGAACTTCTTCAATATAAGCTAGATTTAAGCTAATTTAAGAACACAAAACAATAAGTAGGCAAAACCATTGGAAAAAACTCAAGAAAATTCTTAATCTTAATCTTTATAAGCTAAAACAAGAATCTTGTATTATCTTGTAGAAGCTGTTTGCTAATTTTATATATTATATATAAAATGCTAGATCTAGCCTGAAATTGGCTAAGCTGGTAGCACTGGTGGTCAGCTGATTGTCGCACATAAACAAAGCAATACAAATATTTTTCGGTCAAAATTCGTGTGTTTCATCAGTGGTCAAAATGAAGAGGTCTGCGCCTAATCCGAAGGATGCAGTCCCCGGTAGCGCCCCTACAAATACCGCGGAGGCAAAAAAGCGCACAGAACAGGATGATATCGCTCTGGACAGCGGCAACAATTCCGGCAATTCGGAAGCCGGTGGCAAGCAAGAAGAAGAGCCTAAGCAATTGCCGGTTGTTTTGGTTGAGGAGAAGCAGGAGCAGGAGACCGCGACGACATGCGTCGGAGGGGACCATAAAGTGTGTCTGAATCAAAGCACCTGTGGATGCCGTAGGTTCTACTATAAACAACATACATTGCACACCTTATTCCATACAGTTCTTTGCACATGCATAGACATATATATACTAACGAGCATATGTATGCATGTGTGTACGGTGCGTATCACAACTATCCGAAACCAGAGAAATTTAACGGGTATTAAGAATTGGAAATCTTCCAAGCGATTATTGATAGCAAATAAGAGCAAATACATTTTCCTGTTGAATGGTAAAATGTGCCCAAGTTTGGGACCGTATATTGGTATATTGCACTGCTTGGTAGTCGCTTGGTAATCAGTGATCCACTTTATTGTACATTATCTTACGTAGAAAGTAAACCCCATGAAAGAACCCCATGGAGTCATTAGTCATTGGCATTAGTCATTGCTATTATTTGTATTGTTAGAAGCAGAAATTTGCTTCGCGGAGAATCAGAGAGAAGTGTCTACCGACAATATCAAATTGTTTTGGCCTTTTTCAGCAATCATTTGAATCGCAAAAGATTTGTAAATAATTGCACAAATAGGTTTGGTTTTAATAGAGTATGTTTCGATGCACTAAAATTTGATATTTATTAGCGTAGGACAGATTGAATGATTCGAGATTTAATGATTGAGATAAATGAAAAGGTGGCGCAGCCTGTCAGTTAGTAGGAGTTTACTGCTTGACATCAAGCAGTGCGCAGCATACAGTATAATTTAGTTGGTAGAGACACTCAAAACATCTGACAAAACATTAAGATTCTTCAGACTCCGCGCAGACAGTCTCCGAGGACAGTCTCTGCAGCTTCCTCAGTTGCCAGACGCTGGTCAGGCGAGTCACGCCCACGGCACCAGCAGCGACTCCAAGGATCTTCAATGGTTTACTGCTTGCTGACTGGGCCATCAGAACGGAGCCCATTCCGATCAGACACAGACCACTGAAAGTGCGACAGCGCAAAGCATCTCGCTCCCTTTGGCAATATCGAAGAATCATTTTTTGTTTGCTTGGTGATCGAAAGAAATATAGAATTAAATAGGGAAAACAACTAAACGGAACTGCTACCAAGTTTTGAGGAAATCTCCCCAGCCAACTGTGGCTTGAAATTCGATTATTTTCTTTTTTTTAAACACTAGCTGAATCTTCTATGCAGGCACAGATTTGGCAAGACTCTAAGCACTAGACATGGATAATTCCGGAGATAATGTCTATCCTAAATGCATACAGAAGCCCCCATGTAGCCACAGCATGCCGAAAGTCTCGCATTTCGCTCATTTGTATTCGCTGCATGTTTTTGCCAGAATCCATATCCTGGCGGCAATGATAGATTAAAGTTACGCCCAGTGGCCCGGCAGAGCCCTGCAGCCTGCCACCCCCAAAGCGCACAAATTGCATGAAAACGACGCCCCCACTGCCCCGTTCCTTTTCATTGCAGATCCGTTCAACAGTTGCGAAAAGTTTTCGCAAGCAACGAACCAGCAGTCACAGCAGCCACAACAGGAAACGTTCGTCGGTCTATTTCTATTGCTGATGCTGCTGCTGCTGCAAAATTTGGGGAACTGCAATCGAAATGAGTCCGAAGGTCGCGCCACTCCACTCCACTCCACTTCACTTCACTCCGGGACGAGAGCCCAGTCCCAGGCAGCTCCTGACCGCATGAAATATTCACCAAAAAAAAACAACGAAACCCCGAAAAAACGAGAGGGAAAAACTAGCCTTTGGTGGCACTCACAATACTCTTGATGATTTATTCGGATGCCTTTTTTTTGGGCGAACTTCCACTGCCATTTGGCTAGAAACGGCAGAGCGTGTTAAAGGGTTTACATACTTGTACTTGCATATGTACGCTGCAAGCTGTTGGCAAAACTAAAATACCCTTTAGAAGAGAGAGTACCACTTGGAGGAGCCACCAACCAGCAGCAAGCCAAACGAAAAATGAAATTTCGTTGCTAAGGATTCGGGGCTAAGGGCGCTCACGTACTCAAATGAGAGAAAGTTTTTCGGGTATGAGCGATAAGGCCGATAAGCTGAAGCATTTCTACTCCCAGCTTCCAGCTCCCAACTGCTGCCGCTACTGCTTTAAAGCGGAGAGGCGAGGAGAGGCCTGGGCATAATAAAAATAAAGAGCTTCTCCCATTATTTAACTGCGCATTAAGTGCAGTGGACGTTCCACGTCGCTGCTAATTGAAACGAAGTGCATAAAGTGTCGGTCATGCCACCCACACTTGGCCAAGTGCAGAAAGAAGTACATACAGGAGAGGTCCTGGGGAAAGGAGCAAGGAGAGAGGCGAATGATTAATCCTTTGGTTAACACTGTCAGCTAGTTAGTTTTGCAGTATTTATTGTGATGGTTTTTTGCTTTGCAGTTATATTTATCATGTAAATCATTAGGTCGTAATTATATAGAACTATTATATTTCACATCAGCCTGCCGTATGCCATTTATTTACCTAGCCAGAGTGATTGAAATAAGTCGGTAAGAGCATTCTCGCTTTCCGCCCATCATATTGAAATTGGGGCCAGGGCCTCAGCGCAATTTTCTCTGAAGATTAGGCGACTCAACAGCCATTCGCGATAAGTCCGGACTTAGCCTGGGGGGTGGAGGGTTTGGGAGGGGGGATCGCCATCGATATCAACCCACTCGACAGTGCAATTCCGCACTTGTCCCATTTGAAAGCGCACACTCGAGCCAATAGCATCCGGGGGAGCTGCAATTCAAATCAGAAAAATATGTTCAGGCGCACTCATCACATAACCCCGACCCTTGCAGCTCAACTCGAGGCGGAAGCGGTGCTGGACAACCGCCAGCTGCTGGCATTCCAAGTGCGTTCGCGGGACATCGACTGGCGCCGCTATGTCCAGCCACTGGACACGCGCATCCGCTCTGGCGGCGTGTACCTGGATAAGCAGACAGACTTTGTCAGCAATCATCGGCGTGCCGTCGATGGGGGCAACAGGCGCGAGCTGCTCGTCTGCCACGACATGATGGGCAACTACCTGGAGGATCGGTGAGTGAGTGGGGCGCCAGTGTGTGTCTGGCCACCTAACACTCTCTCCTTCTGCAGGCACTTTCACAGCTCGGAGAAGTACGACGACTATCGCTTTCTGCACTGGTCAGCAGTGGACTATTTCTGCTACTTCAGCCATAAATATGTGACCATTCCGCCCAGCGGCTGGCTGAATGCCGCCCATCGCCATGGCGTACCCGTGCTGGGTACCTACATTGTGGAGTCAGCGGGCCCCCTCCTCGATGTCCTGGCCAGCGAGGAGAGTGTGGACCAGGCTGTGGCCGCCCTCACACGGCTCTGTCTGCACTTTGGCTTTGAGGGCTGGCTGGTGAACGTCGAAGTGACTGTGCCGCGGGAGAGCATGCCCAATCTGCAGTGAGTACTGGAGGGAAGTTCTGTTAGAGATTAATACCAAATTGATACCAAATACCCTATCTTCCCCCCACCAGTCGCTTTGTCCGCGAGCTGCGCTCTGCCACTGAGTCGCGGGTGCCGCATGGACGCGTCTTTTGGTACGACAGCGTCATCGAGAGCGGGGAGCTGCGCTGGCAGAACGAGCTGAACGCGCGGAACGTGGACTTTTTCCGGATCAGCGACGCCATGCTGATCAACTACGCCTGGGATGATGGCCACCTGGAGCGCAGTGCCAGTGTGGCCAGGCAGGAGGGCTCGCCGCAGCATCGGGTCTTCATGGGGCTGGATGTTTTCGGGCGGAGTCGGAAGGGCGGCTTCCAGAGTCTGGACACGATGACGCGGATTGCCCAGAGGGGCTTCTCGGCGGGCATCTTTGCGCCGGCCTGGTCCTTTGAGACGCTGCGTAACTGGCGCGGCTACGACATTAGCACGGCGACTGGCGACGAGGAGGTGAACGCCGCCTTTTTGGCCAGAAACGAGTCGTGGTGGGCTCGCCTGTGGCCCCTGCTGGCCACCCATCCGTACCAGGCGCTGCCATTCTACACGGACTTCTGCGTGGGCTCGGGCCGGGCCAGCTTTGTGCGCGGATCGCGTGATGCCTCGCCGACGGGACGATCCTTCTTCAACTTGGCCCGCCAGTCGCTGCAGCCGTCGGTGCCGCTGGACAAGAATGCCCGGCACTGTTTCCACACTGCCTTCGCGGGCGGCAGTTCGCTGCAGGTGGTCAACTACGAGCGCGCCTTCCGGCTCTTCGTCACCGACTTCGTCCTGCCACGCGGTGTGCTGCTGCTGGGCTATGCCTATCGCATGGACGATGTCGACAGGGAACAGGCCATCGATGTGGTCGTGAGGCTCTCCCCGTTCCAGCGCCAAGGCCAGGATCTGCACGTCTTCTGCGGCTCCTACAGCGGCAACATTGTGGCGCCGCATCTCTGCTACATATCCCCAATGGACGATCCATTGCCTGCCGGCCTGGCGCCCGTACAACTGCCACAGACTTCCGGTTTGCTGGGCGATGGCTGGCGAGTGCGCTACTATCTGGCGCGATTCGATGGACCCGTCGTAGTAGAGGACATTGGCCTGAAGTGTCGCCGTTCGCTGGCGTCCACTGCGGAGGCCTATCTGGGTGCCATCTATGTGCAGGGCCTGTTCCAGGAGGACTGGACAGCCACGCAGTCCAGCCAGAAGGCTACCATCGATGTTTATGGCCGCCAGTTGTGGGAGAACCAAAGCTAAAGTAGATAAACGTATTTCCCTCCATTGCTATCCCTTTTTTCTTTCTTTCTTTTTGTGGTTAGCCTTCTGGGCGGGCCTTGTCTTACTTCTCCGATTTCGAGACCCGTCGCTCCCTGTGTACGAGTATCTTAAGCAATGGACTTCATGCTCTCAGGGCCACATTATTCAACTTCACTTGACATAGCAGCCGCAGCAGCAGCAGCAACAGCGCTGCTCAAGCTGCTTCGGACGCCTTGGTTTCCTGGGAGCTCATCACCAAATACACTTCCTTTTCTTTTTCTGTGTAAAATTTGGATTACCTGTATTTGGGCTTACCACATTTCTTGGCAATGCTCCATGACACAGAGGCATAGCTGTATAATTAATATTTTTGAAACATAATTTTATTTCCGCTTTAAAATATCGTTTTTAAAGTGTTTTAAGTGCCAAATGTTTTTTTATATTTACATTAATGCGTATATAACATTAAATAAATAATTAAATTAATTGAAGACATTAAAATTGATGCAGGTTTCATTTTAAGGGATATACATATATAGAAATTAGTCTACAAAACTGAGGAGCTTTCGCTACTAAAACTGTCATGTTTTTAGCTCATTGCAGTGCAGCTTTTCATTGTGGCTTTCATTTAAATTTGTAAGCTTATCTTTCGGTTTTGTCTTTTGGGTCTTTCTCCTATACTGAGATTAAAAACTCCTTTTTATCTAGACTTTTATTTTATTTAATTCGCAGCTTTTGGCATTCAACAGTAGTACTTAGCGTAAGCTTTGTTTCATAGTTAGACTAACCGCAGATGATGCACAGACACTGTAATCCACTAATCCACTTTGTCCTGTCTCGGTTTTTGCCGTTACTGTGCCTGTGCCCTGCTTAGTTATGTCTGCTGCTAAACTGCTTGCGCTGCTGTTTGCCTGCTTGAACAACTGCAATTTGCGTTTCTGTGCGTCTGCAACTGAACAAAGAAATTTGCATTTAAATTTGCTGAAATTGAAGCCGTGGCCCCCAATTTCCTTCCACCTTCAGTTCCACCGAGAGACCTTTTGCCTACTTGCTCCTCTCCAGCATGTGCGGCGTAATTTTTTGACATTTTTTAATGCAGATTTCAGATAGTTTTTTGTGCTTGTCTCTGGCACGCGCTGTTCTGCATGCGCGCTTGCAGCACACCCCCCCTTCCAACCCTCCTTAATGGCACAGTTTTATGCCATTTTATTTGTTTAGTTCTTCGCTTTTTTGTTTGACTTTGGGCTTGGCCTTCCCCTTCAACTTTGGTGCGCTGCTTGGTTCTGCTCTGCTCTGCGCTGCGTTTGCCTTTGTCTCTGCCGTGTCGCTTTGGCTTTGGGGGCGCTGAAGCGGAAGCTTTAGAGGGGGAGGGGGCATGTTGGCAAAGTGTGGCTAAAAGCAGTGCATCATCCGTTGCCCAGTAACAGCATCCTCCTCTCTCTCTCACTCTCCACTATATATGTAGTTTATCAAGAACATTATCTGCTCTCGTGGGCTTCTCCCTCTCTCACTCTCTCGCCCCTTTTTGGTTGACAGCTTTCTGTGTTATTTGTGTGGCCCTGTCGTAATTAGCCACACCCTTACTTCCCAGCTGCACTGCTTAGCTGTCGATAAAATTCTGCTACTGACCGCATTTCAAAGTGATAAACGTCACCAGCTCCACTGCATTGATTTCGGTTTTCCCCCTACCCCCCTACTCTCCGCAAGGTCCACAGGCGGAGATGGAGATGGAAATGGAAATTTGTGGCAAAGCGTGCGGAAAAGCAGACCGCAAATCGAACAGCGGCACGACTATCCCGCACTACTACTCCTCCTCCTATAAGTTGCTAACTTTTCTGACCTTTCAGCTCTCTCTCTCCTTTCAAACTATTTGGCGTAGTACAAACACAGCTCGAACAAACTGTATAGCTCAGTTCGACCGCAAGGTACCTCCTATCTACAATTTATTACAGAAAATATTTATTTATGCCCCAGACTGACTGTGAGATTGCCATTACACTTTCGATTATGCACACAAGATTCAAACGGAACCAATGGGTGTATTATGATGACAAAGCCGTTCAATTTCAGCACAGGGAAAATCCTCAAGCCAAATATTTGTTTTAGATGTTTTAAAATAAGCATACAAATATATTAATCAAGTCCTAGGGAAATTTCGTATATTTTAGATGAAAAGCAAACAGCGATGAGCCGCCTCAAGCGAGCGATCACACAGCTAACTACTCGGGAATTTTATGTTTTGCTTCCCGCTTGTGGGACTGGGAGCAGTTGGAAGCAAGGGAAAGATTTATGGCGTCCTTTTGAATGTTTGAATCTACCTTTAGGCACCTTTCTCCACAAATAAAATGTACCCTTATACAATAATAGCACCGAATGGTGTGCCAAACATGCAACAGCCACATAAAGCCATTGGGCCTGACCTAGATACGAAATTCAGCTGGATGCTTCCAGGCCAAGCTGGATACCCGCCCTATTTGTGAAATTTTTCATGCATTTTAAGCATTTAAATGGAAATAAAAATTCAATTGAATATGCCACCTGCTCGGAGGATCACCACACAGATGGAAATTGTGTCTGTCAGCTATTGTAGAAGGGAAAATGCAATTTGTGCCAGCGCTCTCTGCCTCTGCCCCTCCTTTGGCTATTCCGTTTATTATGTTGTGTGGCATTAAAGCACTGAAATTGCAGATTTTGTGGCAGTCACGAGGTATTTTCTCATCATCGTGGCTACAGCATACAAATCTCAAAGCTAAAGTTATTTGCGCCCTCTAAGAAGTTGGCAGTGCAGAAAGGAAACACCAATCCCTGTTCATGCGCTCCCTGACACCCTGACACCCGCTATCTCTGCTAATTGCCGTATCCGGTTTGCTGGCTGGTACGAGACAGGGCAACAGTGAAATCAAATTAAAATCAAGTGTGTGGCAATATGCAATTTTAAATTACCGCTCGCTTGCGTGCCCTCATTAATGTGGCCACACCCATGCACCACGCCGCACTAATGAGTTCTCATTGCCGTCTTTGTCCCTACATTGGGCATAAATGGCTGCTAGCCGCGGCTTTAATTACTGTCAATACCCAAGCCAGCGTTCAACTAAAGCCAAAAGCCAAAACCGTGTTCAAGCGTCAAAAACCATCAAAAGCCAATACGAACTGACAGCAGGAGGCTGACCGAGCAAGAGCAGATATAATCACAACAACGCAGCAGGGAATACCCTTAAATGATGTACATCTCCGTCGAGGATAGCTCCAACAACGGTATGGGTTGCCCACCTTCATGGGATCTACCCCCAGGAATTCGTAGAATTATATCAATTTGGATTCCATTATGTCTGCTGTTGTTTCAGACAGTTTAGGTAAATTGCAAACTTTGCATATTTCTTTGTATGACCCATAACCCCCTTTGGCCAGGACCATCCGGCCGAGCAATTAGTGTGAATTTTGGTTTCGGTTAATGGCATTCACAACAGCACCCCCTCCCCCATGCCAGCCAAATGCACAGGCCGACATACGAGTATTTAGGTCAGAATGGATTTTCGATACAACGTCATGGGAAGGTTGCACATTTTCATGCATTCTCGCAACATGGAAATCCCATTAGAAAACTCATTCTTTTTCGCTACTAACCACCAAAATATGCCACCAAATTTTAGCACATTGATACATTTTAAATGTTGGTAAAATTCCTTAATTTTCTATTTCTTTTGGCATGGACTAAGGATGCACTTTCATTCAAGCGATAGCTTGCACCAAGCAATGCAATTAATTTGCATTATTTCTGCATGCAGAAAACCGAAACCGTTTTGTTTGTTCCCTCTGCGATATGCTCAATACGAGTATGACTTAAATCGGACTGTCTGCCAGCATTAAACGTTTCTTTTTTTGTTCCGGTTTTCTTGCGGATGGGAAATTTATTGGTGAATTTTGCGAAAATGAGATTTAACGCAGGGCCCGGCCCACAGGCGACAGACCACTGCTCTGTTCATTTTTCTCTTTTTGGCAGGCATCAGAGCGTCAAATCCTTGAGGCTGGAGCTCATTTCTTCGGTGTATGTTTTCTGGCTGTGCTTTCTGTGCGTTGGGTCTCGCGGCGCCTCATAACTTTTCCACATGGCCAGCAGAAAAGGAAAAAAAAAAAAAAGGGAGAAGCACCAAAGAAATCCGGGAGCGGAGCAGTGGAGCAACAAAACAGCGAGAGTGCAAAAAAATATTCCAACTCTTGTTTTTGTCTTGTGTTTTTGTTGTTGTTGTTCTTGTTGGGGTTCTTCTTGACTTCTTTTTGTGAATTTTTGGTAACACTCGTTTCTTATTTAGTTTGAAGGCAAAGCAACGCAGAGGCTGAGCAACGAAAGGGAGAATATAGAATATAGAATACCCTCTGCACAAATAATACTTACTGCTAAAGGGGAAGATTATTCCTGTAAACACCAAATTCAATGCAAAATGGAATAGAAGTGTTTCCTTTAAGCCAAGTAGTGACTGAGTGCCTAGTCACTGACCAAAACATTAACGTAAACCTTTTTGTGTACCATATTTTAGGGATAAAGGTATACTATATACTTGTGAAAATAGGGTGTGCCTTCCTATAATAATATCTCAATTTGATTTGCCTGCTGCTGGTGTCGGGGAACGTTGCAGGGAAACCACTTAAAATAAAGTTGGTCAAGTCAAGTTACCATCTCATATTTTTGAGCTCAGTCTAAGCTTCATCTTCGTGGTTTTGGTGAGGTTTTCTTTTGGTCTATCACGTTACACATCCATCTACCCCGTCTTGCGGCTGATTGCTGGGTGTGAAAAAGGATGGATTTCTGAAGGATTTCCCGCCACACGAAACTCATTTTTCTTGTTTGTCGTCGCTTAAGCTAAACATTCATTATTTCACTTCCTGGTGTTGGGTCTGTCTCCGGCTTCCATCAGTTGTTTGCTTTGCCCCGGGCCTCTTTGCCTCCTCCCTCGGGGGCTGCCTGCCAGCAGCGCATTGAGTATCGAATATTGAGTACCAGCTATGGGAATATTTGGTTTTCGCAGCACAATTGTTTGCATTTTGCATTTGATTTGCCAATCAGCTCGGCAAACAGCTTTTAGGGGGCATCTGCATCTGCCAGAAGCGTGCCACATGCAGCAACAGGCGACGCGAGTCGCCTCGACGTCAATTGCAATTTGACTTTAAGCAAAGCGGAATACATTCGAGTGCTCCTCAAAACTGCAAGTGCACGTGCAAGTGCAGTTGGTGTCAGTGCTGTTCAAACTGTTCAAGGCAAGAGCCCAGAAGTCCTACAAT